CTCTTGTGACGCCAGGGTCCCCGCGCGGCCCCAACCCGATTGTCGCCACCCCTGCGTGGGGTGCGCGCGTCCTACGGGCGCGGAGGTGCTTGGTGACACCGAGGAGACCGGGGCAGGAGGTGTACGCGGGCTGCTGGGAGCTGTCAGCTTCCTCAGGCTGAGGCCCCCTGAAAGCTGGTACCCGGAACTGACCCCAGTTCAGGGCCTGACGCCAGGGTCCCCGCGCGGCCCCAACCCGATTGTCGCCACCCCTGCGTGGGGTGCGCGCGTCCTACGGGCGCGGAGGTGCTTGGTGACACCGAGGAGACCGGGGCAGGAGGTGTACGCGGGCTGCTGGGAGCTGTCAGCTTCCTCAGGCTGAGGCCCCCTGAAAGCTGGTACCCGGAACTGACCCCAGTTCAGGGCCGGTTCATAGCTCATTCAGCGGTGCTAAATGGGGATCGAACCCAGGGCCTTGGCAGTGAGCTGCACCTCCACTTTTAGGTGGAGGCAGGACCTCATTAACTCATTAAACTGCCCAGGGTGTGACTGGACATGACACCCTTCTGCCTCAGTTTACCAGCAGGTATAACAGGCCTGAGCCCCCAGACCGGGCATTAGAGTTGGAAGCCTGCAGTCTCACGTGGTCACACAGAGCCAGAACAGAATTCAGGTCCCTGGACCTTAGGCTGGCCAGCCTGCTCTGTCCAGGGCCCGTCCCCGCTTCTCATTAAAACAGTAAACACGAGGGCCCCAAACTTAGCTCTGTGGCCCCACGCCTGCCCTACAGATGCAAGGTCCTGAATTGGCTCCCCTGTACCAAGAAAAAAAATCTGCAACAGTAGGTGGACACCTCACCATCTGTGGGACTTTATACCCATCTGCCCACATAGTGGGATAACGAAAAACGTTGTTTTTCCCTGGTTACGGCAGCAGGTGACGCTTCCCTGTGCAGTAACCCCGTGAGGGCTTTGTATCAGAGCCTCGTGCAGACTCACCTCACCCTATTAACCACATCTGGCAAATGAAACACTCGAGAGGGACTTACCTTTTTATTTACTGGTATTTTTGAGGACTTGTGTTACTTTTCAAAGGAGAAAAAAGGTTGCTTTGTGCCTTTTCGGAAAAAATCACCAGGAATCCCTTAACATATTTAACACTACAGAACAGGAAAGCACCTACAAATCAAACCTGTGAAGCCTACAGCCAAACAGCCTTCTTCCCAATCTTTAGTGAGTTGGGAAAGGTGGCACATGACTGTGAGCCCAGCCTTACTGGGAGGCTGAGGCAGGAGGATTGCTACAAGTCGAAGGCAGCCTGAACTGCAGTGAGGCTGTTTAAATAAGTAAAACCAATTCTGGAGTTAATCGGTGGTGGGATGTGGCCAGGGAACATTCTGAGGACAAAGGGGCAGTGGTCACCCAGGGTGACCTGGAACTTGCAGTGATCCAGCCTCAGCCTTTGAGAGCTGGAACTGCAGGTGTCTCACCACGTGTGGCTAAAATTTACAAATATTCATTTATGCAAGAAAATGTGCCAAGTGCAAGTGTGCAGCGTACACGAGGTTACCCGGGGTCTCTGCAGCCTCTGCCTAACCACAAATGCCTTCCTGTGGCAGGATGCCCACAAAGTTTACTACGCAGTTTATTCTACAGCCGCAACACCCTGAGAACCTTTTTTACAGCAGAAGCAAAACAGTAAACGCCAAGCGCCAAACGCCAAACGTTCAGAGCCCCCAGAGGCAAAGGTGGTCTTCAGGCACCGTGTTCACACCCAATGGCAGAGCCGGGGCCCAGTCGTACAGTTTCGGCCCCCAAGGCCCAAGGGTGTGCTCTGCTAAGAAGGCAGCAGCCTCGTGGGCAAACAGGAAGGCAAGCAGGAGCAGACATCTGTAACGAGCTGTTTATTTGCACAAAGACACGAAGATCACGCGATGCTGCCCGCGTTGGACGCGATCCTTGGCCACAGGTCCGCGCACTCCTTGGCCACCGGCCCCGTGATGGCAGAACCTGCAGGAAAGGTGAGGACAGATCAGAGCCGACAGGAGCTGAGCCACCCACTCCCACAAGCTTCGGGCAACCGGGCCCCTCGCTCACCCTTCATCTCGCCTTTGTTGTTCACTATGACCCCTGCGTTGTCTTCAAAATAAAGAAACACCCCATCTTTTCTCCGGTACGACTTCCGCTGTCGGATCACCACTGCGGGGTGCACTGTGGGGAAGAAGGAAAAAGTCACTGCTTTTAACTGCATACTCTCGAAGGCCAAGACTGGCACAGAACTTGTTACGCGGAGGGTGGGCAGCTCCTGGGGAGGCCACCTGTCCCCCTCCTGAGCACAGCGTCCCACCCAGTACAGCTCAAAACCCAAAGTGCAAACAACCACACTGGAAAGGGCCTCTTCCAGGACTGTCAGAACTAAAGACACAACCGTGTGTAACCCATCCACCAGTCAGGACTCTTGGTGCGGGTCTGCGGGCCCCAAGCCACCCACCCACCCCATGACCTCAACTGTGGGCCTCCCCTCCGTGTCGCCAGGGGTGGGACAGGGCCCTCAAGTGCTCAATATTTTGCTCCTACCCCCCCAATTTTTCTGAGCAAGGATATTGCTAAACTTGAGTTGCCCGGACTAGGGGCAAATGCGGGGCCTCCTGGAGTGCCGGGACTGCTCACACACGTGTCACCCTGCTCACAGATCTTCACACTGTGTCTACATGCACTTTTCATCTGTTCTTTTTATCCTCCCACCCCAGACCAAAACATACTCTGGTGATCAGGACATATCCTGTCTCCATCTTCCTGCATTACACACAACACCAGCAACCTAGTTCAGAAGCCTCTTATTGTTACAAATAAAAAAGGTGGGGAGGGTGAGGGATAAGGAGAGGGAGAGAGG